TTTTTGTTATTTTCAGACATGGGGTAATTGAAATATGTAATTGTAATTGGCTGTAATTAATTACAATTTCTCAAATAATTGAATGTAATGTGTAATTGAGCATTTTTTCAATTACAAGTAATTAAAAGTAATGAATTACAAAGCCAAAATTGTCTGTTATTGACAATTACTTTTCAATTACATTTAAGATTTAGGATCAGAAGGATTGAATCTTTAATGAAAATTATGAATAGCCATGACCTTAGCAAATGTAGTTAGCTGACAAATCAAAACCTACACAGTATACCTTCTGTAATTACACAACCATCGAAGATTCTTTATTTTGTAATGAATGAACAAAAAATTAAAAAGAAAAAAAAATATTGAAGAAACATGCCATAATTTGTGTTTAAAAGAAACCATTAGTAAGTCACTGTCTTATACCTTAATTAGCTTGTTACCTACATAAAATTGAGAATGGAAATGGGGAATGTGTCAAAGAGACAACAACCCGACCATAGAGCAGACAACAGCCGAAGACCACCAATGGGTCTTCAATGCAGCGAGAAACTCCCGCACCCAGAGGCGTCCTTCAGCTGGCCCCTAAACAAATATGTATACTAGTTCATTGATAATGGACGTCATACTAAACTCCAAATTACACACAAGAAACTAAAATTAAAAATGATACAAGACTAACAAAGGCCAGAGGCTCCTGACTTGGGACAGGCGCAAAAATGCGGCGGGGTTAAACATGTTTTTTGAGATCTCAACCCTCCCCCTATACCTCTAGCCAATGTAGAAAAAACCAACGTACAACAGTACGCACAGTAAAACTCAGTTTAAGAGAAGTCCAAGTCCAATGTCAGAATAGGAAACAAAAGAAAATAAACAAAATGACAATAATACATAAATAACAACAGACTACTAGCAGTTACTGACATGCCAGCTCCAGACCTCAATTAAACTGAATGAAAGATTATGTCTTCATCATATGAATATCAGGCACAATCCCTCCTGTTAGGGGTTTAGTATTATACCATCATAAAATATATGAGAAGAACATAACCCGTGTCATGCCAACAACTGGTTTTAGAATAAATATGTTGTATATTCAGATGGATATTGTTAGACATTGATTTAACATAATCAATTTGAAAGGTCATAAGTCAATCAATAAATATAACCTCTAGCTATTTGTTTTATCATAAACTATATAATAACTGTTTTTACAACAGTTATGTCTGCATGTTAAACAGGTGTTAAGCCAATTAGAAAGAAATAAATATACCCCTAGGTACATGATTTTTTTTTTAAATTAATTAATTGTGATTAAATCTACATTATATTTTTAAAAAAGTCAGACTTTATAAATCATTTCTTTAAGCATGTTAGGAAAAATAAATTTAATAACATGGTTGTGATCAAAATAAAAAAATAAAATTTTTATCTATAGGGCTCTCTTCTTGTATCATTTTCAACGAAATACATGAAAACATAAAATTTCAATAGGTAATTAAACAAAATTTAATATTTTCCAAATATTGAATAAGGCTTTTTATCATTTTGCGCATTAAATTAAACCAGAAATCTAGTCCTAACGATTCCTGAAAGACAAAGTATTATGTGCACTTCAGATTTATGTTTGTTTTTTCTTTATTCTCGTAACACACCAGATGATTAACTTTTAATCTTCTTTGATACTGGCTGAATTTGAAAATAGTCACTGTAGATCTCATTTGTTATTACTATAAAGCAATGTATGATAATTATGTACATATGATAGAATAAATGCATGTTCTAAATTTTCCTTTCAAAAGTAATTGACTGCAAGTCAATCATGTTAATGTAACATTAAGTTACAAAACACATCATGAAGCAGCTTGTGAGTGATAGCATCCTGTATGACATCAAACACAGCTTTCAACAGTCATGGTCATTATTATGCAGTTAAACACAATTACTTTCTTTCATCCATGAACTATCAGCTGCAACTAACAATATCATACAAACTGATCTCGTTATTATGGACGTTGCTAAAGCATTCGATAATTTTTATACGACCGCAAAAAAGTCGTATATTGGTATGACGTTAGCGTCGTTGTCGCCGTCGTCGTCATCGTCCGAAGACACATTGGTTTTCGCACTCTAACTTTAATTTAAGTGAATGGATCTCTATGAAATTTTACCATAAGGTTCAATACCACAAAAGAAAGGTTGGGATTGCTTTTGAGGGTTATGGTACCAACTGTTAAGGAATTAGGGGCCAAAAATAAGCATTTTTGTAACTTCCAGACATAATTTGTGTGTTAGTGTATGAATCTCTGTGACATTGTACCACAAGGTTCCGTATCACAAAGGGAATGCTGGGATTGATTTTGGGGGTAATTGCCTCCAAATTTAAGGAATTAGGGGCCAAAAAAGGGACAAAAAACAAGCATTTTTCTTGTTTCATGACAATAACTTGTGTGTAAGTGTATGGATCTTTCTGAAATTGTACTACAAGGTTCCATATCACAAAGGGAAAGCTGGGTTTGAATTTGGGGGTAATTGTCCTAAACGTTTAGGAATTTTGGGCCAAAAAGGGGCCTAAAAACAAGCATTTTTCTAGTTTCAAGACAATGACTTGTGTTCAAGTGTATGGATCTCTCTGAAATTGTACTACAAGGTACCATACCACAAAGGGAAGGCTGGGATTGATTTTTGGGGTAATTGCCTTCAAATTTTAGGAATTAGGGGCCAAAAAGGGGCCAAAAATAAGCATTTTTCTAGTTTCCAGACAATAACTTGTGTTCAAGTGTATGGATCTCTCTGAAATTGTACTACAAGGTACCATACCACAAAGGGAAGGCTGGGATTGAGTTTGGGGTGATGAATCATAAGGGGGTTAAAAAAATTTGGGGGAGGGATATTTTTTCCTTTTTTTATACGACTGCAAACAAATTTTGCGGTCGTATATTGGTATGACGTTGGCGTCGTCGTCGTCCGAATACACATTGGTTTTCACACTCTAACTTTAGTTTAAGTAAATGGATCTCTATGAAATTTTACCATAAGGTTCAATACCACAAAAGGAAGGTGGGGATTGATTTTGTGGGTTATGGTACCAATAGTTAAGGAATTAGGGGCCAAAAAGGGGCCAAAAATAAGCATTTTTGTAACTTCCAGACATAACTTGTGTGTTAGTTTATGGATCTCTCTGACATTGTACCACAAGGTTCCATACCACAAAGGGAATGCTGGGATTGATTTTGGGGGTAATTGCCTCCAAATTTTAGGAATTAGGGGCCAAAAAGGGGCAAAAAACAAGCATTTTTCTAGTTTCATGACAATAACTTGTGTGTAAGTGTATGGATCTCTCTGACATTGTACCACAAGGTACCATATCACAAAGGGAATGCTGGGATTGATTTAGGGGGTAATTGCCTCCAAATTTTAGGAATTAGGGGCCAAAAAGGGGCAAAAACAAGCATTTTTCTAGTTTCATGACAATAACTTGTGTGTAAATGTATGGATCTTCATGAAATTGTACTACAAGGTTCCATATCACAAAGGGAAAGCTGGGTTTGAGTTTGGGGGTAATTGCCCAAAACGTTTAGGAATAAGGGGCCAAAAATAAGAATTTTTCTAGTTTCCAGACAATAACTTGTGTTCAAGTGTATGGATCTCTCTGAAATTGTACTGCAAGGTACCATATCACAAAGGGAAGGCTGGGATTAATTTTGGGGGTAATTCCCTCAAAATTTGAGGAATTAGGGGCCATAAAGGGGCAAAAAAAACAAGCATTTTTCTAGTTTCAGGACAATAACTTGTGTGTAAGTGTATGGATCTTTATTAAATTGTACTGCAAGGTTCCATATCACAAAGGGAAAGCTGGGTTTGAGTTTGGGGGTAATTGCCCTACACGTTTAGGAATTTGGGGCCAAAAAGGGGCATAAAAACAAGCATTTTTCTATTTTCCAGACAATAACTTGTGTTCAAGTGTATGGATCTCTCTGAAATTGTACTGCATACCACAAAGGGAAGGCTGGGATTGAGTTTGGGGGTGATGAATCATAAGGGGGTTCAAAAAATTTGGGGGGGGATTTTTTTTTTTCTTTAAAATTTTCCATTTTAAATTGGTTATTTCTGATTTATATATAAAAGCAAATAATAATGATATGGTTTGAATAGGTAAATTAAAAAATTTTAAGTTCTTAGACCACATTCATTCTGTGTCAGAAACCTATGCTGTGTCAAATATTTAATCACAATCCAAATTCAGTGCTGTATCAAGCTTGAATGTTGTGTCCATACTTGCCCCAACTGTTCACGGTTCGACCTCTGTGGTCGTATCAAGCTGCGCCTCAGCGGAGCATTTTATTTTCTTTAAAATTTTCCATTTTAAATTGGTTATTTCTGATTTATATATAAAAGCAAATAATAATGATATGGTTTGAATAGGTAAATTAAAAAATTTTAAGTTCTTAGACCACATTCAGTCTGTGTCAGAAACCTATGCTGTGTCAAATATTTAATCACAATCCAAATTCAGTACTGTATCAAGCTTGACTGTTGTGTCCATACTTGCCCCAACTGTTCAGTGTTCAACCTCTGCGGTCGTATCAAGCTGCGCTCAGCAGAGCATTTTATTTCAATTCAATTCTACAAAGTATTTTATTATTCAAATATCAAATGTGCATTTAAATAAAGGAATTGGACAAAAGGCAAAACCTATACAAATCCTTTCCCATACAACATGTACAAGATGGATTGAATAATTTACTTGTATTAGATAAGGTACCACATAGCTGACTTTTATACAGATTAAGCTGTTTAGGCATTGCCATTTCTGGACTAGTAAGTTATTAATTAAGTATTTAGCATATCTACAATTAACAATTGCAACCATATACAATGTACTGGTATTTAGTTTTATGGAAAAGTGATCGAGAAATTTAATATCATATGTAAGGTTCCTGATCCATTTTAGTACAGTTTAAATCAGGCTTTTACCGTTTTTTTCTGATTATTTTGTACAGGAGCTGATACCTCATACTGGATAAAGTTTTTTACAGAATGTGGAATTCCACCAAGTGAATCAACAAACTATGCTATCACATTTACAGACAACAGGATACAAAAAGACATGTTAATGGACCTGACTAAAGAGTATCTTACAGAAATGGGAATCTCCATTCTAGGAGATGTCATCGCTATCCTCAAACATGCAAAAACAGTACATTCACAGGTAAACTTTACTTGTAGGCAAGATATAATCGATATCTTACTTTTATCTAAGAATTAAGGGACATATTTTCAAATAAGTGAGAAAGCAGTTAAATGAGTTTTTCCAAAAACTATTCTATGCAAGCAGGAGTTAAACTGTATAATGAACTTTTACAATTGTTCAAGTCATAAATAATTATCCAATGTTGTGTTTTTTTGTGTTCAATAAAATAATGTTAACTGAAATGTAAATAATGTCAATAAACACACAAGGTGTTGCTTTAAAAAACTTCTGAGGGATTCTGCATCTCAATTTGAGTTAGATTAGAAATACAACTTTTTAACTTTACATGCAACTGCACATAAAATTTTAACTTTTAATAAAAAAACAATTATTTTAAGGTATGGTAAGTAACGTGTGATATCACAATGCTGTTCATAAATCGAACTGATTGTTTTGCAACTTTCTGTTTTAGTTAGCAAGAGAGAAAGCACTCCAGGGTACAAAAAACATATCATCCACACCCAGACGACAGACAGGTACACAGTAGATTTAATAAATTATATATGTAGTAAGATTCTGGCTTTGGTCATGTTGGTGCAAGATTGGAACCTATGAAAGAGGGATATTGCTTTTTCCTGGTTTGACTAATTGGAAAGAAATGATTGGATTCTTTCTTAATGCTGATTAAAATTTTCTTACTTTATATTCAAAATGAAAGAAATATTTATAACATATGCACACATTTCCCATTGTAATATAATAACTGAAGGAATTATTTCTTATAGTTTTTAAAGAAGAAAAAACTGGTTTTACCATTTCTCTTTTGTATGCCAGCTAAATAAAGGAGGTGGTATATATGATAAGAGTCATTATTGGCCCCTGATATTGCTAAAATGATTTACTTATTCAAACCTTTCAAAATTATGTTAATTTTTGTCTGGTCTCAAAAAAGTTGAAAAGGCAAGACTTAGGGAGTACTGTTTCAGGCAGTTTAAGGGAACTACTATTGGTAGGTCAATGGTATTCAGTAGGCAGTTGTATTTGCATTGGCACATCTCATTTCGATGGAGATTATTTGACCCTACCCTCTTAGTCATGGTCTATTGACTTTCAAACCTTTGCTTAGTTTACATGTTAAAGTTTGTGATTATGTCAGTTTAAGATAAACCATCAATGGTATTTGGTATGCAGTTGTATAATGATTGGCAGCAACCCATTTCCATGGAGATTATTTGGTCCTGCCCCTTTAATCATTATCTATTGACTTTGAAGCTTTTGCTTAGTTTACATGTTAAAGTTTGTGTTTAGGTCAGTTTAAAGGGAACCAAAAGTCAAATGTATCTCGTATGCAGGTGTATTAGCATTGGCAATTCTCATTTCCACAAAGGTCATTTGACCCAGCACTCTCATTCATGATTCATTTGACTGAATGCTTTGCATAGGTCATTTAGTTTACATGTTAAAGTACAACAATGTATTTGCCATTAAATTTCAAAATTTGCATTATACTATAAAATTTACTTAAAGCAAGACATATCTCTTTGTCAACAGTTTATTTACCAAAAATATGTGTTTGACGTTTACCACTCCAGATGTATGATATGAAAATCTATGATATTGATTGGTATTTGAATATATCTGGGATCTCGAGATAACTGCTTTGTAATTGTTATATGTTTTGAAAAGTTAAATGAATATCAATCCCTTTGAAAAACTAGAATTCGACTAGTTTAAAAACTGAATGAAAAAAGTGTATGCTTGATTTTGTTCAATATAATTTCAGCTGCTAGTAGGACTGTCAATCATTACCTAGGAAATGATCCAGACTCAGCCCCAATGAATCTCGCAGTAGTGCCTAAGCTCTCTAAAGAGTTATCTGCCCGTCTAGGTGGCACACCTCCTGTAGAAGGTTTGTACACATACTTTCACTGCAAGTAATTGAAGATAACACAATAAATGCAGTTGTGACGTCTGACATGGAAAAGGTTATTTTAAGAAAAGTAGAAAAAAAACATAGATTTTGGACTTGCAAATATAGACCACATGCAAGTACCAATTAAATAATTTTCCACAATGTTTTTCTATATGAGCATTTTTCATTAAAATGTTTGTGGTATACTTGCATGTACTCAATATTTCATAAAAATATGTGTGTAAATATGTGAATTTTGTCATTTTTTGTAGAAAAATCAGATATATGCTATCATTATACTGTTAAATTGTCATGAATATTCATATTTCAAAGATCTTCGACTTTCAACTTTGAATTCACTATCAATTATCTTCAAGCCAAAGTCATCTGCTTTTGTAATACATAAATTTGTTTTAGGCCAAGTTGGTCCTTAGCACACCTCCTACCTACATATGATAAGGCCATTATGTAGGTCCCATGAATTTGAAATAAAACCAACTGATTTTGTTAGTGTGATAAAATTCAATGACAGTTTTAGTAATAGTATTTGACTTGATTTGATCTTTATGTTGATCTAGAATCTGGCCTTAGAAGTACCACAGTTAAATTGTCCAAAAAACTGGAAGAAGTTGTACCAGTCCCAAAGAAAAGAAGAGTATTTCCAGAACATGAAGGAAAATATAAAATTACAATGCCGTCAGGGAAGACACAGAAAACAAAGAAACTTTTAGCCAAAGGTAAGAGGAAGAAGACATGTAAGAATAAGATAAAGGTAAATTTGTACTCTCTTATTTTAAGATACTGATAGAGATACCATCAGAAAAAATGTCTTTAGACAGGTTTTCATTCCTAATATCTTTTTTCTCTTGAACTATATACTGTGAAAGTATTTTTATTCGTGGGTATCAATTTTCGTGGTTTCAGCAAAAGTTACATTTTCGTGGGTTCTTAAATTCGTGGATTTTAGTTTTCTGAAGAAAAAAATTGAATGAAGAATTTGAAGACTTCAGAATCGAATATTCGTGATATTAATCATATGTTGTTTTATAATGATTTGTGGGGCATTGTTAAATTGGGTGTTCATTTTCACTCACTTGTTTGTCCTTCATTACTACCAAATTCATAACATTTTGAATTGTAGAATCAATTATTATGACATAAAAAAGCAAGCCCAAAATGAAATCAGTATTTTTTTTTCGTATGAGAATTATGTAAAAAGGAACATTTCATTATAGCATATCATCACTGGAAATCTGACTTTCATCGATCAAAAATTATTTCTCATGAGAAATAAAATGTTAACAGTCGAACATTTTAGATTTTTTAAAGATTAAATTGGTAAAATCCGGTCTGAAGTTGTACAAAAAAAATGTATATTTAGTTCATAGTACGTTGGTTTATATGACCGTATCCATGTAATCAAACCTACATGGGGATCTTTCCATGTCTGGAATTGGACAACAGTTATTATATTTCGTTGGACAGTTAAATTTGTGGATAAAGCCATCCACGAAAACCGCGAAAATTGGTACCCCACGAATAAAAGAACTATAACAGTATTTGAATCAGTAAAATTAAACTTACAAAAATGTGCAACAGCAGGGTTCTCACAAGGATATTCTTAGGGTGAGTCTTAGAACAACTTTTTGAAGTGGTGAGACCTAGCTGATTCTGATGAGTCCATTATACAGGAACTCAAATTTGGCCATTTTGGCTTCCTTGAATAATCATTTTTGCCTCAATTTGACCAAGTCGCTCACATTGTTTTTATCATAAATGCATCTAAATAGAACTTACATATTTTCCAGTGTGTAACAAAATGAAAATATAGATTTATCCTCGTATTACCAGATTTCGTGCTATTAAGAACGCTTTGTGACGTCGCAATTTCCATTGTAAAGGCAAGCATAGTTTGAATTCATATAACATACGAAAACATATGATCTGACCATACATATATTGGCTTGCAATTTTTGATAATTTATTGGCTTCTTTGACAAATTTATTGCAGGTAAAAAGGTAAAACATGTTCTAATGTTTATAACAAATTTCAATCTCCTGGGATTTTATCAAGGTAATCAAGCACGGTGAAGTCAATCACATGATCAGGACAAATATTTAGTTTTTGCTCTCTTAGGATTTACCCTGACTTAAAAGCAATCAATGAAGACATAATTAAATTAGAAAATATATACAGGAAGCATGTTTTCAGAATCTTTTTGTCAGCTGAAGGATAATTTTGATAATAGCAGAACTCGCCCCACAGGTTCATGACAATGTGTGCAACACATGTAACAAACATACACACTGTACAGTGTATTATTCAATATGAACACAATACTACCTAAAAATTGGTTAAGCATATGGTGTATGAAATTCATGAAAAATATTGTTTGAATTTTTGGAAAATTCAGAAATAAAACTCCCTTTTATTACTTTTCAGCCAAAAAGACTGATTCAGTATTTGATAGACTTGGTTCAGAAACAAGACAGACGACAGTAACAAATTCTGGTTTATTAATCAGTTCTACGTCTGAGGTAGTGTATAAATTATTTGGAACATAAAAATTTGTGATTTCTTTAATGATGAACAAAACACTCACATATTTCACCTGAAATATTCTTCTTGATTTCATTCTGAAGCTTATAAAAAGCTTGAAAACTTCTAAAAGTAACAGTAGGCTGTGTTCCTAACACAATATTCTGAATACCGTAAGCAGACTTATATTTGAAGTGAAGTTTATGTAATCTAAATATTTGAGCAGGATGAAGATAATTATTATCTCCCTAAAGGCTTGTTTATTATAATACGATGTATTGAAACTGAATATCTCAAGTTGATATCAAGCAATATCCAGTTCTCAGTTATTATGAAACCTTTAGATATAAGCAATGTTAAAATCTCAAAAAATTATTATAACAGTATATCTTTTCAGGGCTCAGTGTTCAGTAGGTTGGGTGGCAAGCAAGCTTTAAAACGGGAAGCAACATCAACATCTCTTGACCTGGACTCTGATGAGGATGACGAAGGAGGGGAACAGTTAGAATATGCAGGAATATTTAAAAATACTCCATCACCTGCTAAAAAACCTAAGGTTCCCGTGATGAAAAAGATAACTATTACAAAACAAGTCACTGGTAAGTTCATGTCTTCTTTTATATGATATTTTCATGCAGAATAGAATTTATTTGCATTTAGAATGATATCACTAATGCAAAATATGTTCTATAAGGGTTATGAATAAAAAATATATAAATTTCAATTGGACAGCAATAATACAATAATAAACATAATGTCTTTCTACAAGCTTAGAAAATAATTGAGGCTGAGAACCTTTTTCATGTTTTTAAATATTTATCTGCATTATAAGATATTCCTTTTTGTTATTTGACTGGTGAGATCAAAGTGTTTCATCATTTAAGTTTACCCAAAATTAAATTCAGAAGACATTAGAACGTATTTCCTGCAAAACTATTTGTCAACAGAAGTATAAGAAGTGATATATAATGAGCAGAAAAATTATTGACAGGAGAAATCCATTTGTACAGAAAACATCAGAAAAATGTATGGTTTTTTATTTGACAAAAAGCTTAAAATTGATTCAATGATAGAAAATATCGTGTTAAAAGACCCTAAATTTGTCTGTTAACTTTTGTTGTGGTTTGGAGCTTGTCATCAATGCAGGTTTTGCCTAGACTCTTTGAATGTAAATAGGTATCTTTGCTTTAGTGATCAACTGATAATTTAATTTCAGCCAAGCTTTCCTCTGAGTTTTACTATTTGCTATTGTTTTCTTGTGAGCATCTTTCTAATATCTCATTACTACTGTAAAAAGAAAATTGTTGAAAATTTGTCATTTCATTTATCTACTCTTTCAGCTAAAGTGCCTGCTAAGAAGTTAGTTGCAACTGCAGGAATTTTGTCAGAAGATGCAGAAATCCAGTTGAATAAGAGAATAAAGGAAAGATTGGGCAAAAAGACTAGTCTTCAAGAAGTGTCTAGTACAACTGATGAAATAGATGCTACTAGATCAGGTATCATTGTCATTCAAGTTTATGATACATATGTTAAGAATAGCATCATTACCAAAAAAATTGGAAAGTACAACAGATTGCACCAATCACCAACACCTGACTCCTATGAGAAAATATTTACACAAAGACCAAAAACATGAACAACAAATGTTCTACAAGAGATAACATCAGAAGCAAAATTTGGAAATATATTTTTTATTCTTCCCTATTTTCCTGAAAGATGAATTTAAGTTTTTTATTAACAATTTGAAAGTATTAAATGTTAAAGTGTTTAAAACATCAATGACCAAGAGATACCATCTAGAGAAACATTTTTATTTTATTCCCAATTTTAAAACGGATTTTCCAACAGAAATCTGGTTATTCATTTGGGTTGTACTGCAGGTGGTCAGGTTGGCAAATTAAATTTTAATGTGTTGTTACTGATGACAAAATGGAGGTTAAGTTCGATACTGATCATTTTTACTTTTGTTGTTCAGGATTGGAGATGGCCCATTATTGCTTTAACAATGACACTAATAAATATACAAAAAACCTGGTTTGCTGTCATATTGACATCCTCTTGTTCTGTATTTTACTAATAAATGCAGTCAACATTTTGGAACAGTCTGAGGTTAGAGAAATTTGAAATTTAAATAACTTTGTTATACCTTCATGGAATTTTACATATCTTGGTCAGAAGCTTTTTTCGTAATTTATAGATAGCATCCTGAGCAAAAGTTTGATTTTGGACTTAATTTTATGGCATCCAAATTACACTTTTGCACTATCTTCAGCAGTTGCAGGCAAACCGTCCCTAAAATGCAGAATCCCAGTGGTCATGGTAAAATGAGCATAAATATATTCTGTTTTACAAGGCTTAGTAAAATACATTATATTTAAACATATGATAATAGCCTTCTTGCCTAGGGGATCATACTTTTATATTTCTGCAAAAACATAGCTTTTATTGATATGAGGGAAATAAAAGTGGCTACAAATGATTATAAGATATATAAAAATATTCTTTTTAATTTATACTGTTGAATTAATAAATTTGAAAACATGGGGAGACGATTTGAATTAAGAGCCATTTTCCACCCATGTTTCTTTTAGAACTTTATCACATATGGAGAAATGAAATATCTTTGTATATAAATGGATAGAATCTAAATACCTTTTTTTTTATAACCTATTAATCTGTAACAGCAAGCATTATTCATTTTAAGGATGTTCGCTCCTCTGTTTCAAAATAACAAGCTTTTTGAAAGACGGTAATAAATTGATAGTATATAAGTAAAGGAACTCAAAAAGCAGAAAAAAATGAAAGGTCCGTGTCCTTGTTTTTGAGATATAATCTATTGAAAATTTGGCGGGAAATGATTCTCTCTAGATTTTTTATACATTTAACATTGACACCTTTTTACATTCAAAAACTATGAAAAAATAACAAGGACTTTATAAGATTTTCAAAAATGGCTTTTTAAACTATATGTAATAAAATTATGGAATGAAAAGTAGGGGTTAGCAGGCAAAATTTTTTATTGGCACTACATGGAAAAAACTAGAGGATTCCGAATATTTGACAAAAAGTCAGAAACAAGAGTAGCGGACATCCTTAACATCTTTAGAAACCTGTTCAATATCATATTATCTTTATTGTTAAAAAAATTAATTTTTCTTCAAGGTGCAGTTTACAATCGACTTGGGCCTAAAAAAGTTGCCACAGTATCCAAAAAGCCTGCCAGTCCAGTTGGTGTATTTGGTCGTTTAGGAAAACCAGTGACATCAACATGATCTTCATAATTTGGGAACAAAAAGGAAATGTGCAATGTATCAAAGCCAGTACAAGGAACAAGATGGAAAATGAAAAAAAATTACTTAAAGATCAATTGAAGGAATGAAATTGTTTTTCATTGGTACTTCGTGTATTTTTTAAAAGAAGAGAAAATGGTGTAGCTAGTTACATATAATTTATTTTTATAATAGCAAGATATTGACATAACTGGTGTAAGGAGCATTAATATGTTTTAGCAAGTCTTTGGGATGTACTTTTGGTTTTAATAAATGTGAATTCTAGGGCAGATATAAACTGTATTCATGTTAGTGTAATGCTTGACATAGTTTAGAATTTCCTTATTTGGGTGGAAGCTTCTGTTCTATATCAAAATCTATAAGTGTATGACAGGTAAAGATGACTTTATTATCAGTAACCTTATATAGAAGTCCAATTTTGAAACCAGAAAAATATTTTAGTTAAGCAGTTAAGAGCCTTTTGCATTCTGTTTTACAATTTATGAATCACAGAGCATAAAAAAATTACATTATTATATATTTAAGAATAATATGTATACAAAGGGACCTTGTAAAGCAATGTTGGTTCATATTACATTTGTTTATTTTGCAAAGGTAAGGTCTATATATTTAATATGTAATAGATGTATATGATACTGTTGACATATTTATTAAATATAAATGACAACTGTTGGGAAGAAGTTTTGAAAATAAGTGGTTACAGTTGAAATTTTGAGAATGAATATTGGATTCTAGGATGAAATCAGTTCAGCCATGCAAGTTATAAAGTATGTATAATTAATGCATTCTTGTATTTTAAGAAAATTGTACATATGATTACAGAGAACATTCAGGTTTAATTACTTATGAAATAAAAATATGTTTTGACTGATTTGTTTTGATTTCTGTTTAGTTTACTTAAACCTATAACATGTCCTGTTGTAGAGGTTCAAAGTTTTTTACATAAATTTATGAACATGATATCCAGTATCTAATAAGCACAATGCCATTACATATTGACGATTCTTTGATTTAATATGAATTTATGCAGATGAAATCATATGTTAAATAGATAGCAACCCAACAAGAAAAGAAAAACTAAAAATCATTAAAATTTTATCTGAAAAATAGTTACCCTTTCCATTTGAATTTGAAAAGTTCTCAATTTATTGCACTGAAATGACTTTAATGCTATTTTCAAATCAATCAAGGGCCTTAAATCCTGAACAGCAAGAGCGAAAATTGGCAATATCGCACTTGACCTCCATTTAGTCATCAGTAACAGCATATTAAAATTTGAAAGGCATTTATAATTGAATGGTTCATATGTTAAACACAATCAGCTTGAGACGCCCTTACTCCTGTCTATCAACCCAAATCAATATAGAATAGTATTCAATGCATCAAGAAAATTTAGCACCCTTAGGCGGGCTTCAGCTTGCCCATAAACAGTGATGTATACTAGTTCAGCAAAATGGACACCACACTAAACTCCGAAATAACCTGATTTCTGTCAGAAAATCTGGTTAAAAATTACATGAGTATTTTTGAAATTGCAGATCAGATTTGCCAAATTACCAACTCTTGATAACCTATTCATCAACATAAAAGTTCTGTTGGAAAATTTGTTAGAATGCTGTAATAACTGTTCCTGTTGGAACAACTTTTCTAATCCCTTTGTTCTGTTAGGAACAAGTACTCATGAATATATTTAACCCTGCCACAATCTTTATATTCCTTGCCAGAATCAGGAACCTGTAATTGAGCAGTTGTCATTAATTCATGTCTGTCATATTTGTTTTTTTGTAAATTGTATTGTTATAAATAAGCCACTAGTTTTCTTTTTTGAATTTTTTTTGCAGGCACTTTTATAGTTGACTTACAGTATGAGTTTTGCTCATTTTTGAAGGCCGTACAGTGACCTTTCATTGCCAACATCCACATCATTTCAACTCAAGTGGATAGTTGTCTCATTGGCAATCATTAATCATACCACTTCTCCTTATTTTTGTTCTGTAGTATTTTCTTCTTTCAGTTGAAATAGTATTTCAGAGTGTCCCTTACATTTGAAACTAATATTATGAAGTAACTTCAATTCCATGACACCATCCAACAACATTATTTGGTTTCAGATGGCTAGGTGGTCTAAAACAGTAAGGATATTTCAAGGAATAACAGAAAGTATATCTGAATTGATAGGCAAGGTTGTTAAAATATAACCAGTAAACAATACTGTCCTAGGGAATAACTGTATATACCAAATTTCATTCTACTGGTTCAACAGTTCTTGAAGTTTTCCACTGACTAATTTTGTTCATGGTAGCTAGATTTGAGATATCCTATAAATGTAACTATCAAGGCTAATAAACACTCCATCACTTTATTTGTTATAATTTTATTATCATTCATGAAAGTTGTTCCAGATAAATACATTGTAATAAAGAATAAAATGCTCCGCAGGGCGCAGCTTGATACGACCGCAGAGGTCGAACCCTGAACAGTTGGGGCAAGTATGGACACAACATTCAAGCTTGATACAGCTTTGCATTTGGATTGTGATTAAATATTTGACACAGCATAGGTTTCTGACACAGAATGAATGTGGTCTAAGAACTTAAAAATTTTAAATTGGACATTCACCTATTATGGTCCAATATCCAAAATCTTAATACATGGTTAGATTCAGCATATCAAAGAACCCCAAGAATTCAATTTTTGATGAAATCAAACAAAGTTTAATTTTGGACCCTTTTGACCTCAATGTGGACAAAGTTGATAACGGGGCCCAAAAATCAAAAATCTAAATACATGGTTAGATTTAGCATATCAAAGAACCCCATATATTCAATTTTTGTTGAAATCAAACAAAGTTTAATTTTGGACCCCGATTTGGACCAACTTGAAAACTGGGCCCATAATCAAAAATCTAAATACATGTTTAGATTCAGCATATCAAAGAACCCTAAGAATTCAATTTTTGTTAAAATCAAACTAAGTTTTATTTTGGACCCTTTGGACCTTAATGTAGACCAATTTGAAAACGGGGCCCAAAATCCAAAAACTAAATACACGGTTAGATTCAGCATATTAAAGAACCCCAAGAATTCAAGAATAAAACCCCATTGAAATTGGTCAAGAAATAAGCAATTTATACAAAGTATATTCTTTTGCACAATACTGTGCAATTAAATATTTCTTGCTATTGCGCAATACTGTACAATTGACAATTTCTTGCTATTGCGCAATATTGTGCTATTGGATATTTCTTGCTATTGCGCAATACTGTGCAAATGAAGATTTCTTGCTATTGCGCAATACTGTGCAATTGAAGATTTCTTGCTATTATGCAATACTGTGCAATTGAAAATTTCTTGCTTTTGCACAATACTTATTATATAATAATTTACACATCCTGTTTGGTGTGTATCTCCTACCATATCATTATTATTTGCTTTTAAATATAAATCAGAAATAACCAACTTAAAATGGAAAATTTTAAAAGGAAAAAAAGAAAAAAAAGGAAAAAAAAAAAAATCCCCCCCCTTTTTTGAACCCCCTTATGATTCAACACACCCAAACTCAATCCCAGCCTTCCCTTTGTGGTATGGTACCTTGCAGTACAATTTCAGAGAGATCCATACACTTGAACACAAGTTATTGTCTGGAAACTAGAAAAATGTGTTTTTTGGCCCCTTTTTGGCCCCAAATTCCTAAAAGTGTAGGGCAATTACCCCCAAACTCAAACCCAGCTTTCCCTTTGTGATATGGAACCTTGTAGTACAATTTCAGAAAGATCCATACACTTACACACAAGTTATTGTCCTGAAACTAGAAAAATGCTTGTTTTTTGCCCCTTTTTGGCCCCTAATTCCTAAACTATTGAGGCAATTACCCCCATCATCAATCCCAGCCTTCCCTTTGTGGTATGGTACCTTGCAGTACAATTTCAGAGAGATCCATACACTTGAACACAAGTTATTGTCTGGAAACTAGAAAAATGCTTATTTTTGGCCCCTTTTTGGCCCCCAATTCCTAAACGTTTCGGCAATTACCCCCAAACTTAATTCCAGCTTTCCCTTTGTGGTATGGAACCTTGTAGTACAATTTCAGAAAGATCCATACACTTACACACAAGTTATTGTCATGAAACTAGAAAAATGCTTGTTTTTTGCCCCTTTTTTGGCCCCTAATTCCTAAAATTTTGAGGCAATTACCCCCAAAATCAATCCCAGCATTCCTTTTGTGATATGGAACCTTGTGGTACAATGTCAGAGAGATCCATACACTAACACACAAGTTATGTCTGGAAGTTACAAAAATGCTTATTTTTGGCCCCTTTTTGGCCCCTAATTCCTTTACTGTTGGTACCATAACCCCCAAAATCAATCCCAACCTTCCATTTGTGGTATTGAACCTTGTGGTAAAATTTCATAGAGATCCATTCACTTAAACTAAAGTTAGAGTGCGAAAACCAATGTGTCTTCGGACGACGCCGGACGACGACGACGACGACGACGCCAACGTCATACCAATATACGACCACAAAAATTTTTTTGCGGCCGTATAAAAATTAACAATTGTTCATTGAAAAAATCATAAATGAAAAATCAAAATGAATTTTTGTCTACAGATTGTAAAAATTATCTACTTGTCTAAAAGTCAGGTCCTATTTTACATCTGTACATTCACCTTATCAATGGTCTATCTGTCACTCTATCATATCTACTAAGGGAATATACAAGTATTGTGCCTTCCTTAGCAATGGAGGAATATTGATTCCCCATATCGAAATTAAAGAAAAACACAAGTTTAAGTAGTCGACAAAATATGTATTTTCCATTGCAATGAAAATGTAAAATTAGTGACATTCAACAGATTTGGAATGAAACCTTTACCCCAAACCACCAAAACAAACTATGAAGGCAAAAAAACTTACAACTACAGGACTGATCAAAAACCTTATGAACTTTTGTGAAACTATGATTGACTTGATTCTTTGACTAATATAACAGATGTTATGGTATTGGTAAGTGCTTATCTTTATTGTACAATATATTTAAACAGAACAACCATGAGGCAAATACAGGTAAAACATAACGATATGATCCCTGGAGAACAAAATATTGCATAACAAACAAAACTGAACAGAATATAACTATTTATAATCAGTCTTTATATCTGAAATTTTCCATTAGAAACTAAGTTCACTATTGCAAACCTTTGAGTAAAAATGTATAATTAATATCGATTATAGTACAGTACTGAAAAATACTACTTCCTGACATCCCAGAATCACTACTCATTAACATATCCTGAATATACATTAAATCTTAAATACAATGCATTGCAATTAGTACTAATAAAAGAGATGTAACTAGGAAGGAACATAATGCTAAAATATTCCCCCAATTTTGAACCTTGTTGAATTTATTTGAATTTTGAATAAGCAATATCAATATTTTCAGGTGTGATATTTCGCAACTTGTGGCTAAAGCCATCCCAATAAGGCAAATTTTAATGATGGAAAGGTCTGAATTTCCAACATTTTTTAAAATCATCGCTACAACCTTGTTTTTTGAAAACTATTGGGTTAGAAGCAAAATTCATTTTCAGATGGCTATCAAAAGGAGACATTTTTCTTTCTGATGGAAATAAACCCCCAGATTTTTGTTAACATACTGGTTCTAACAGTAGAATGAACATTTACATCATCCAAATTAGCAAAGAAACGACAGGATTTTTTTTTTCACCTACATCTCTACAAAAATACAAACATTTCAGATATTAAGAACTATTATACCTTAAATGAAAATTACAATTAATCTTATTTTTACTCAATAATATACCTACAAATACATAAAACATATGGAAAGAAAACATGATGAATGTCATGGAATATTAATGAGACTTGAAGGAGAGAGACCCCCCTCAAGTTTGTGGATGTACAAATTTATCAATAAACTTTATAATGTAGGGTCCAAATTTTGTTTTACTGTCATATGAATTGATCATTGCTGAACTAGATTCACAACCTATAGTCAAAGGCTTATGGTTTTTATCAGTAGAAAAAAATGTAATTGTAATATAAGCTTATAACTGCTCATTAATTAGCTTTAAGTACTCACTGTAAAATCTGACTCAAAGGTTCTAAAATTTTAAAAGTCTCTTTTTTCATAGCCGTGATCTTTTAAAAATTTAACCTTAAGCAAAAAAGAAAACAAGCATTCTGAGAGTATTGCATGGCAATACATAGTCCCCTACTGGTTAAAAATTCATTGTATTGGAACAAAATGCTAACTTGATCTATAACTTGTCATGGTGTAAACTATATAACAAATATCAAGTTAATTTCTTCAAGCATGACGAAAAAAAGTGTTGAAAACTAATTATTTAAGTGAATTTTCTAAGTCCAAGGACCATTACTCTGCACAAATTCATCAGACCTGAACAAAATTCGAACTTGATCTGTAACTAGTCAAGATAAAACTATCTACCAATTATCAAATCAATATCTTCAAGCTTGACAAAAAAAGTGTGGAAAATTGATTATTTGAGTAATTTCCTAAGTCCAAGGACAATAACTCTGCACAAAATCATCAGATCGGAACAAAATTTGAACTTGATCTGTAACTTGTCATGATAAAACAATACACCAAATATCAAATCAATATCTTCAAGCACTAAGAAAAAAAAGTGTGGAAAACTGATTTGCCGGACTGACAGGCAGACAGACGTTTGGAGTACAAACCTAAAGTCACCTTTCGACTTCGTCCGTAGGGGAGTCATTAAATGGAAGAATCTGTTTAATACTTAAAAAATCTCTGTGTTTAATTGAAATATTTATTTTAAAGCCATTGAAAATGAAGATGCCTACTCTATTAGCAATAAAGTAATGTGGATTGACAACAAATACATAAAAAAAAATTGTATTAGCATTAGCAGATTATCAAATAGAGCATATGAAGTTCAAACAAAAAATATAATAATTCAATTTTTAAATACATATTTAACAAAAACAATGATATGTATTAGAGAAAGCTACCAATTATAGAAAAATATAAGCAAAATTGTGCTGACTTGTCTAAAATGAGTTTTTACAGTATTTTGTAAAATCTATATTGTATTTACATATTGTTATTTAGGTTGACGGTGAAGAAATAAACACGATATGCAATTGATACTAAGGATTATATGTAATTTAGATATTCATATATATATATATATATATATATAAATATAAGCACTTAAGAATGTACTTAGGTGAAATTAAAAAAAATTAGAATTTAAAATTGATACTATAAGTCAGAAGAGCATTAGTAAAGGAAAGGAACAAAATAAGCTAAAAATATTGATAGGTTTTGGAACTCCTTTTTTGGGATATTTGATTTTAAAAAAAATGGCGGGAAAAGGCTGACTCGGACTTTTACCTTATATTTAGCATAAGCATTATTTGGCTCTCAATTCGTAAGAAAAAAAATCTAGAATCTGCTTAAATTTTTGTAATGACCTATTTATGAGCTATTTAAGTCTTCTATGAAAAGAAAAGTGGGTGATATGGGGCAAAATATTTTACCCTGTATTGGAGTGAAAAAAACCAAGAAGTCCGAACATCTGACAAAAATTCATAAACCTGACCTGAGTACATCCTTAATAGATTACCATAATTATTTGAAGTTTTTATGGTAAACAAAATATCAAATACTTGTATATAAAGAACATTTATTTAAATAATTTGTTCCTTGTAATATAATTTTTTTTTTTCAATTTTCATTTTAACTTTCAAATTATTTCCCTGCTACAGGTCATTAGGTAAAACTTTTATTATTTTCCCTCATGAAATGTCATATTCAGTAAAAAGATATATCTTGAGGTAAACTTAAATTCAAGATGAAGAACTGTAAAATGATTTTCTGCCAAAAAAAGGATCTAACATTAGTTTTGATCCTAGGAGTCCATTCTCATTCTGTCTTCTATGTGTTCTTTTTCCATTTTATGACCACTTCACATTAATTAGACATACATAATTGTTACAAGATACATGCATGTTAAGGTTTTAATTATTAAAAACCCCAAATAGTGCTCATCCCTATGTACTCTATATTTATCTGAATGAAAATTGATATATAGAAAATCCTTTACTGTAAATATGGAAAATGTTTTGCCAATTTCGCAATTTAGATAGAATCTTGAAACTATCCCCTAGTGTAAAATTGATCTTTAAGAAATATTGAATATATCAGAATACGAGACAAGAAAAAAATGAACTGGTTTGAACTTTGAAATCAGGAAATTTAAACTGCCATGAAAAACCACTTTACAGTGTAAGTATAACTCCACAATAAAATATACACATATATCTATTTATTTCAAGTAATATGAAAAAAGTTAAGTTTTCTGAACAGCATGTTTTATAAGTAAATATTACTTTATTTATGTGTCTTGAATGGCATTTAAAGTATGGTATGCAGTTACCCCTTTCTTTACTACATTTTAATTAAAGTAATGACCTCTTAAAAAAATGCCTTAAATAAGCAAATCTGTATTGCAAAATCACAAAAAAATAAAAATAAAAGTCTTAAGACTTATTCAATCTGTATAAAAAATAATTGCTTTGAGCATAAAACAGACAGATCACAGTAATCAATGCATTCAATAACCTATATACAAATTAACTTTTTTCATTTGCAAACATGCATATGCTTCAATATTCTGCAAAAACTCTTACTGATAATGTGAAACTTAAGTCTAAATACATACATGTAAATGATATTAAAGAAGAATAGAGAAAACCTCTATGAACGATCTAACCTTTTTACATGATAATATTTGTACATACTATTCATTTCTTTTAAATAAAATTCAAAATACAAACTTATAAATATGCTATTGCTGTGTGGCAGTGGATACTCATGGATGGTAGTATAATCAGATATTCAAAAATAAAATGCTTGCAAAAATATCTAAATAAGAAGAACAAGAAATGAATTTGATCTTATGATTTGAATTTGTATATTAATGAGATCTTTTTTTTCTTGCTTTCTCTCTTTTTCATCAGAAAACTCAAAACACAATGCACTAAATACAATTTTACACCATCTACAGTATAAGTGTAGTTATAACTCAACTATTCACTGATTATTCATCAGGTAAACTGCATTCTTTGTAAAGACGTCAGTTCCATCCGAACTAACTTCATTAAACTTTTGAAATATTACTCTGCATTAACAACCATTAAGTTAGATACTGTTGAATTAAACAATCAAAAGTCTATTAAGATGACCAAGATGCTGGTAGTTTAATATTCCACAAATCAGGCAGTTTATTATATTTCTTGGCAAAGAACAAACTACCGGCTATTACAACCACAGAAACACCTAGAGCTGTCCATATCAGAGATGAACTACTGTTTTCAGTTACATCCTTTTCTTTTTGGTTTATTATTTTATCTAGACGTTCGAATTCCCTTAATTTATTCTGAAATACAAGAAAATTTTATTATTCAAAATTCTTATTCCATAAAAAAAAATTATAACAATTTTCATTTCTATTTCAAAGAGTTAAAAATATACTTATAAAAAAACCTAAAATCTCATAAACAGGACAGGGATGACATCTTGCACACTGAGCAAAATGAAACTAAAATGTACATCATATTCAAAAGCAGGGTGTATAATAGAAAATAATAAAAATATTATTTTATCATATAAATAAAAAGAGTATGTATAAAATATGGAGATGTGGTATGATTGCATATGCACATGATGAAACAACTATCCAACAGAGTCCAAAAGAAGCAGATTTACGCAACTAGATTTCACCATATGGCCTTCAACAATGAAAAAAAAACCATATAGTCAGCTATAACAGGCCCTGAACATGATAAATTTGTGAAACAATTCAAACAAGAAAACCAATGACCTAATTTATGACAAAACAATATACAAAAAAATCAAATATGACAGACGGCAACCAACAATAACCACTAAATCAATGATCCATGAAAATGAAGTCCCAGTCAGATGACAGACAGACATGTATACCTTACAATCATTCCATACACACCAAATATAGTGGTCCTATCGTTATAGTACCTGAGAAACAACTCCAACCACAAAATCTTAACATTGACCAATGAACCATGAAAATGAGGTCAAGGTAATGTGAACCTTGCCAGACAGAAATGTACACCTTACAATCATTCCATACACCAAATATAGTTGACCTAATGCTTATAGTAACTAATAAACTAACATAACCTATCATTGACCAATGAACCATGAAAATGAGGTCAAAGTCATATGAAACCTGTCAGACAAACATGTATACCTAACAATTATTTCATACACCAAATATAGTTGATCTTTTGCTTATAGTATGTGAGAAATAGACACAACCAAACAAACAAAACATTGTCTAATGAACCATGAAAATGAGGTCAAGGTTAGATGAAACCTGCCAGTCAGATATGTACACCATACAATCATATCATACATTAAATATAGTGGCCCTATTGCTTATAGTATCAGAGAAATAGACCAAACCACAAAAATTAAACATTGTCCAATGAACCCTGACATTGAGATCAAGGTCAGATGAAACCTGCCAGTCGGACATGTACACCTTACAATCATTCCATACACCAAATATAGTTGAACTACTGCTTATAGTATCTGACATAAGGACTTGACCACGTAACTTTCACCTTGATCACTGATCCATGGAATGAGGTCGAGGTCAGGTGAATCCTACCAGATGGACATGTAGACCTTGCAAGGAACCCATATACCAAATATAGGTATCCTCTTACCGGGTACCTACAATAAGTGAGTGTTTCACTTTTCTAAAAAACTGATTTTTTTTTCAAGCAGTCACTGAACCATGAAAATGAAGTCAAAGACAATGGACATATGACATATGACAGACAGAAACTTCGTAACGTAAGGTATCTGCATACAAGGTATGAAGCATCCAGGTCTTCAAGCTTCTGAAATATAAAGCTTTTATATAGTTTACGCCATAGCCGCTGATTGTAATACCTATGTCTCGCATTCATTGACATTTTTTTTTTTAATTTCGCCAACTACATTCCCCAATCTGTAAAACATCAACAGAAACACTGTTGTTCTCAGCCCAAGGCCACACCAATTTGATTAATAGTTCTTCCGACAAAAGCTCAAAAAAATATGGGGCGATTGAGCGAAATTTTTTTGTTTTTATATATTTCTTGAAAATGAGTTTTTTTTAGGCGAGTGCTCTACAAGTGAAGCGAACGGTATAATTTTTTTTTTTAAATTGTGTGATTTATAAGTTGTACAATTTATGTACATGTTATAACTGGGTTATTTCATAGAAATACGAGGAGCAACAGATACTCTTATGCATATAATTTGATATATTGGTGCCCGTACCATATCAGATTTTCGATCACTTTCTTGTCTCACAGTGGTTAAGTTAATTTTGTTTAATTTCTTTAAGTAAGCTTTGTCTGTGGGAATTTTCATTTAAATCCATATATATATATTAAGGAAGCAGATGCAGTTTTACAAGAGGATGTATGTTAGTTAGGTAAAAGAGAGGCAAAAGATACCAAAGGGACATTCAAACTCATAAGTCGAAAATAAACTGACAAGTCCATGGCTAAAAAAGAAAAAGACCAACAGACAAACAACAGTACACAAAACACAACATAGAAAACTAAAAACTGGGCAACACGAACCCCACCAAAAACTGGGGGTGATCTCAGGTACTCCGTAAGGGTAAATGACACATGTTGAATAAAATAAAATTATGTGTATGTATCCAAAAAAATGCCCCTGAAAGATATTTGATAGTTGTTTTCATTGTATGGTAATGATTGTTTATTGTTGTAGTTCAGTGTTTCTGTGATTCCGTTGTCTTCTTCTAATAGTGGATGTGTTTCCTTCGGTTTTAGTTTGTTACCCAGATTTATTTTTGCTTAATCGAATTATGACTATTGAACAGCAGTATAACTATTTATGCCTATTTAGGATCAAAATAATGAGTGAGGTGAATACTTCTTGCTTTGTACTAAAACAACATCCTGAGTAAGACAGTTATATTGCTATACATGAAGATCCAAATGTATTAAAATATTCCCTTAAAATACATATTACCCCATTCACATGCATTTTTTTTACATTTGTACAGAGTGAAATACTCTTTCCTTTTGCTCCTAAAAGCTGTAATGCATTTTAAACTCTTTAGCTTGACTAGAAGTGGTTGAACCAATTACACACCCCTAATTATTATGAGCATGCCAATCACTTTGGTCTCGTTGAAACTCTTTAAATTCCCTCCAATAAAAGAAGAGTTCTGCTTGCATGTCATTAGACTAGCAAGGGGATATGGGGTTTCATCAACATCAAATACTTCTGTGATTTTTTCAAAAGTTCATGGGAATTTACAATTCATTTCATCCAAAAGATAGATAGGTCTATGCCTGTTGAAACAAGGATCGGGGGTGACGATGGTTCTAACAAATATTGATGTGTTTGTTGTCATCTAACGAAAGATTTTCAATTTTTGCATCCTAGAACAGGTCTTTAAAAGTAAAACGAGAAGCATTTCAGATAACTGTGTGTTCAATAACTACTTGCCCACGGCAATGAACTGACACAACTCATGTTAACTGCATGTTGGCATCCAGATTTTTGACCTTTTATTTACAAATAAATTTATGACATGTGCGTTTAAAACGATAAGAGCATTATATGTGACAGAAAAGCGTCTGTGAAATAAAAATTCAAGGAGAAACTAATTTTGGAGCGGCATGCGAACCAAAAATTTGCGGAAGTGGTCATTTTTTTTTTTATTGAAAAGTCAATTTCTCCAAAACAGGAGCGGGAAAATCCAAAGAACTTTTAATCAAATTGGTGTGGCCCAAAGAATTAATTTTATTTGCAAAACAAAAAGATATGAAACCTTCTGCAGTAGGCAATATCATAAGTTTCACATGTGCTTTACATTGTCCAAAATGGGACCAAATTAAACCATATCTACCTTGTAAAATGCCTCAGCATTGTGTTGTACCAGCATTTTGACTTTTGCCCCTGCCTTCAGGAATACCTGCACAGCCTCATTATGACTAACATTTCTTAAATCCTCCCCATTTACCTAAAAATTTAAACAAAACAAATTCACAACAGATCTGATTTTTTTTTACTATTCAATACATACATTCTGAAAAGAAAAAAGAAAGTAAAGGCTAAGTCTTTTGCAAATCCATTTTATACATAACAAGTTAGACTAGAGGCTAACCTGGGCCTGTATTGATAACTTGGATCTAAGCCTTAAACTGATGAAAAATCTCTGTAGCTTTACATTTTGTGAGGCAATGCAACGTTTGCTCTTATTATAACAGTTCAGTAAAAGGGAATTTACCAAAATACCAATTACCTAAGTCATTATCATGATTATGAGGCTTTTTTAAAATGTTTTAAGCAATAGTTCTTAACAACACAAATTTTGAGTGTGATTTTTTTCTGTCTTTAATGGTTTTGAAGATGTTAGAAGATACTTGCATTTTACTCCTATGTTCTATTTTAGCCATGTTCATGATGTTGGCTGATTTGTAGAACAAAAACAACAAGTGTATTCTAGATACCCAAAGGATCATTTAGCTCAAGTATAAAGTAGTAATTGGTCAAGTGGTTTTAGAGAAGATTTTTTAAATAGTTTATGACAATGACAGATTCCAAGTGAATGCAATATCTCACATGGCCCATAGGACCACAAGATCTAATAACTATACTTGTTATGAAAAAGCATTTTATTCAGTATTGGTAAATCTTTGATCCCTTTTATAGCACACTTCAGTCACTTTTTCAACTCCATAAATATTCAAAGGATGTATTCTTAGATAATTCTTCTGAAAGTGTAAGACAAATCACTTCTTTTACTTGAAAAGCAATATGTGAAAGTTTTACCACTGTGTATTTTTGAGATATGGACAAGTAAGGTCAATGCAAAACTTATACATTATTCTATGTGCAATTTTTTGCCTCACAAATTAGTTCTTTTAATAAAATGAGTACTGTTTATCTATAGGTATCAAAGAGCACCACTTGTCAACCATTGAGACTGTCTTGTAAGGTGTGAGCTTTTAAGTTTATTGTAAAAGACCTTTGAGTAACTGTCCAGATGAAGAACAGCAATAAAACACTGTTCCATTGAAAATACTGGTTTATCTCCTGGATTTTTTTAAAGATTTCATCTTAGGTGCATCCATATCCTTTGCTTTCCTCATATAAAGAGTTGACCAAGTGTGAAATTAGATCATGTTTCAGATCTGAATAATAATTATAATTATAAAACATATTCACATTTGTAAACTTAAAGAACATACAATGTTGTCTCATCCATGTTTCTTCAAAACTAAATTTTATACACAGAGACGGCTGTGTATTGGACTAGCAACTCTATATGTCTTTATTTGTATACAGTTGCCACAATGCAGAAAAAAAACCCTTCATTTTTAATTAGCATAGTTCAATTCCACTGGAAAATTTCATACAACTAACCTCTAATATTTTATCTCCTTCTTTTAATCTTCCATCTTCATATGCTGTACCAATATCCCTGATCTTTGTCACAAATATTCCATGGTCATTCTTCAAATGAGGTACATCAATTCCACCTCTAATATTGAACCCAAGTCCTAAAATATGTACAAAATGTATGCCGGAACTGACTGTAATTTAAACACAAATAAGTTTCTCAACCTCTTTGTAATCAGATTAAAACCTGATTTACAATAGTAAAACCCTTCTTGGTTGATCCATTGCAAGAAATGGGACAGAATCATATGATCCAAAATGGAGCATAAATGGTAGAAGGGTGGATTTGGGTCATACTAGTATCACACTGAACATGCTGAAAGACCTAGCTTTCAACAACACGCATTTAGGAATTCTAGTCACTTTGGCACCTAGTTAAATCATCACCAGGTCAAACCAGCATCCGATCTAATCAATTTGGTTTTTAATCAAATTGGCACATGGTAAAATCAGCACCTGCAAGTAAATTATTCTGTTTTTTCCAAATATCTAAACTATTTCCACTCGAGGTCCACTTAGGATAATGCATATATATATACAAAATAATGGGGTGCTTAAATATAGAGAAAATAGAAAAATATTTTGGGGGTCGAAGGGTTTGAAACACTATATGCATCTTATCATGGTATAACTACTGTGTTACACTTTACATAGCTGTCGTCTGACAGTGTGATAGTGATGCAAGTAACTCAAAGTTTGGTCTTTAATACCTTCTCATTTTCACAAGATTAAACCACAGGGACTGGGTAAGTGGATATACACACTTATAATTAAAGTTGTTTTTTATATGTCCTTTATATTTGTATTACATAATTGCCAATGGCATCAAGATTTGTATGTTTACTAGCAAAGTGCAGCCAGTATACTATCCATGTCTGTATATTGAACAATCCTAAATACTCAGACATGGATATTATACTGCACATTGCTAGTAGACATACAAATGTTGGTGCCAACATTATTCATTTATACAAGAAGACAGGAGATGCCAATAAAAAAGAATTAAATTACAATTAATAAATTTGTTTATATCTGCTCACTAAGCATGCTAAGTCTCTGTGGATAAAACAACAATGGATTAAGAGACTTGAAACTTTAAAGTCCTTTTTTTATCTCCCAAAATTAACCTGTGAATGGTTGTTTTGGGGGCATGTCTGTGTTCAAACATGTATACTTAAGTATAGCGTATTGATTTTGATTGAAACAATAATGACATTGTAGATGCATGGTTGATAAAGGTAATTTTCAAATCAATCAACTTAAGAGGATGTTTTTATTCTATTGTCCAACTATGGAGAATTTTACTTTGTGAGGCAGATTATTCTAATATTTTAATTTTAGATGGTTCACTGATTTTTAAAATCTTAATTATGACATACTGGAAAGAAAGAGGAATGTTCAAAGGATGTTTTTATTGAATTTGATTTCATGTCTACCAGAAACTGTTTTCAAGATGAAAAATTTAAGACATTTATCTTATTTTTTGTTAAAATGAGGGTAAATATTTCATTGCAAAAATACATTTCCTGTACAAGAATATACAATACCTTCACTGATAAATGTAACCTAAATTATGGATTAATTGCAGATACTTGTTGCAGAGATTTTGCAAGAAAAATAGACCTGACTTGGATTTTTTACTCATGAATACAGATTTTCTTTTTGGTCTTTTCTTAAAAAAAAATACATTGTATTAATCCTTAAACAACTATCTTTCAGACAAAATTTACAGATATTTTATTCAATGCAGTGTAAATCATTAAAAGTTGTATAAAGGATTAAAACTATCATCCGTCTATAATTTTATCAAAGAAATGCACATTTAATATTAATGTTAACCATGTGCATGATGTGTACAAATGTATCAATCATACATGAAGACAGAGGTCACCTAATAATACTGACCTATATGGAATAAATTACATTTGATACTAATGAGATCAAAGTTTGTGTATTGAGTGGTCTGCCATGGTTAAAGAAAGAATTGGAACAACATGAACAAGTTCCAATCTTTCGAAAAAATGGCTGGATCCGCCCCTGCTATTACCAGCAAATTTGTATCCGAGAAGCATACAATTCCTCACAAATCTACATATCTATACACAAAGTACAAAAAATATATGATGATAAATAAAACCATAGATATAATAGCCATAGATAAAGTACTGAACCCACATCAAAAGCAGATGATATTTGCCGAAATTTTATCACCCTCTTATTAAATACATGTCACACTTGGTGTTAATTAGCCTTTATTGGCAATTGCCGGTGATAAAAATCTAATAAATTGTGAACCAGGAGAGTAATATGTCATTCTTCGGTAGTAATTGTAATCTTCCGGTACATCATTTACATGCATGGTAGTTCCTGAAAGTTGAAATTTATTATAAAGCAATGCGAGAAAGAAAAAAGAAGGAGATACATACGTACAAATGACAATTAACACCTTATCTCTTTGTATTTATACAAGACTACTCGATATGAGTGTAAAACTATTTTGTTAAAAATAGGTTATTTGATACAATTTTATTTTGTATAAACCTTTCATTATACAAGGTGTAATTCCTTGGCATTTTGTTTGGAATGTTTATATACGGGCTTAAAATGCAAGTAAAGATGACCGATGTTTACATGGTTCTTATTAGTCCTGAATATGCATCAAATGTTTGCCACTGAACATTGGGAATCAACGATCCTGTAATCAATCACTGTAATCGAAAATACACACAACTTGGTTGATACCAAACCAAAGAAGTGATATAAATAAAGTATACAAAAAGTACGTTGACAACTGAACGGGCAGACTTACAGAGGAATATATATATAGCTTATTTATGGTACGAATAATACCTCTAGCACAATTGTAAGAAGGAAGGGAAAATAAACCATGAATGACACAGGACAAAACTCCTATATTTTAATTTTCTCATAGCCATTATAACGCTTAATATATATATTGTTTACTTCAAAAATGAAATCGACAATCAGAATATACCACCAGCTACTTAATTGCAAAACAAGCACGAAAAATGGTAAGCGGAATAATATATAGAAGAAAAAAATTCAGAGACATGTGCCTGTACTATTTCCCAATTATTTAATGTATTTCAGTATGTCCACCACATACGTTTTCTTCACCAACGTTTAAAAGATTGAGATACGCGATGTTAAGATTTGAATAAGAGGAACTACATGGCAAAATATACAAGAAGATATATTAAAAGATGTTGTTGATAAATGTTTTACTGATATATTAAAAACAACATTATATATACACAAATGAAATATTTGCAAATTATTTTTTTTTATGTCAAGTCGAGTTTCTGTTTTATACCCTCTTCCACTGTAAATTTAAGCTGAAACTCGGTAAGAATAAATTTTTGCTGTGACATGACAATAATATCACTAATTTGAGATTTAAACAAATAACATTCAGTAAAATCAAGTGACATGGAAATTTCTCTAATGTAAGTATATTTAAGCAATTAGTCCAAGCTTTTATAATGTAAAAATCTTTTTTTTTCTAAAAAAAATTATAATTTCTTCCTTATGGCATAAAATAGGATTTCACTATTTTGAATCTCGATAAAAACTTTTTTCTTTAAACAGTCATGGGACTTATTGAAATAAGTGATTTTTAAATCACTTATTTAAGTAGCAAATTCTAAGTTTTGTCACAAATTGTGATTTTGTAGTTTTACCAAAATTTTTAACACATAGGTTTAGATAATATCTTTTCATTAGTAAAATTGAAAAAAATGGACTGTTTGCTTCTTTTAAGCAGCAAGGTTTATGCCTTTGATACAATCATTTAGCTGCAAATTCTATTTAAGTTGAAAAAATGCTACAAACATGGCTTTACATAATGTACTGATACTTTCTTAACAGATTTTTCCCAGCAGTGGGAGTATTTTTCCTGTAAAATTCAAGGTTTCATCTTATAGATTATGTAATAAAATTCTACTGTTCGCCATCAAAATTTCACTGTTCGGGGGTGTTGAAATTAGTGGGGGTTATTAAAATAATGATACTTAAAGAAGTGATTTTTTGGAAGGAAATTGAGGTATGATACTTAAACAAGTGATTTTTATGTCATTATCCTAGATTTAGTACAAGGTCATCACCTGACATGACCCAGTCATCCTATCAACACAGATGTTGGTTCTGATAATTTTAGCAACATAATAAGTCCCTGGATCATTAGTATTCTATATTTAAAGCTACAATAAAATTAAATCACTTAGTCTAGTGATTAATTTGTACTACTTATATAGGTGATTATTAAAGAAAGACAACTCTTACTTCCAACCTTTATGGACATAATGTTACTTGAATCAGTGATTTAAAAAAATCACTCATTTAAGTAAGTCCCCTGACTGTTAAATCGCCATAGAAAAATTCGACTCGGTTCGACCTTTTAACCACGAATACCATCAGTAAACGATACGTCTTCTCTTGTCAATCATACAGGTCTTATTTCCCGAGTGCAACCGATGCAAGTGCTATGACAATTTAATCTTATATACCTGTTAAGTACATGTACCATGATTTCTCTATTTTATTATTTCGACAACAGCATAACCTTTTCATTTGTTGACCGATTTTCTCCAAATAAATTACAATCCAAACAACTTTTACAATTAGACGCTTCTTATTGCTTCCGCCTCCTGACATATTTTTACTTGAGACAGGTAACGCACATTAATTATTGGCTGATAAGACAAGTCCCCGATAATTTAAATATAATTATGATAAGTAATTAGTCTATTGGGAGGATGTCGGCAAATATCATCTACATCACAGGCCACTACGCGCAGTGCCATGCTTTTGATATTTCAAAGGAAACTACATGGGGCTTAGTGGGTCATATTCTGAGTACTTTATCTATAGCTATTATATCTATGATAAAACAAACATGCACCAAATTTTTATAACATTTGGGAGTTCATCACTACATCAGTTATCCCCTGTCTCATTTTCATATTAACCCTGTTTGGTCAGTCCATAGGGTTATATATATATATAACTGCATAGGTACGTTGCAGTATCCATAGACTTTGATGTATACCTATAGTGGATCAGTAATCCAGTGGATCAACTGCTTTCAGTTTTAAAATATTATTATTTTTCATGTATACAATTAGTTAAATACCATGATGATTATTAAATTAAAACAAAATCATAATTTACCATTTGGACCACGAGGTAATTCGATTTTTTCTTCTATCAAGTCCATTCATTCAAAACTTGAAATGCAAAGTGACTTGAACCACCTTGGAACTCTTTTGTGTACAGAGGTAAGTTAGATACATAGTAAGACTATGAACCGAAAAAGAACGTACCTTATCCATTTCGATTTCTTAAAAATTACATTCATGGCGTTTTAATCTTGTAAAATATACATATTTATTTTGGACGATACCAATAAAATATATGTCTCTGATAATACCAACATTATGATGGTCTTATACGTCTCTAATATTGATAACTGAAATAATGAATACAGTAGTCTTACAAGTATTAGCATTTCAAAAAGCTTTTCTGACTTTAGAGCTATTTTCCTACTGCTTGTAGTTTAAAGGTTTGGTTGGCTTGCTTGCTTTATTTGTATAAATGTTTACTCAAGCATTGTAACTAAGATTGATATCTGCAATCAATAGATAGACAGGGCTTCAGCTTGTATACATTATACTCTGCATTATACTAAACATCCAATAAAATTTAAGTATAGATCAGTATAATGCATTGTTCACACATGCATGCAATAATTGTACCTTATAGGTATGTTTATATATGCTCTCTATAACTATGTAATTGTAGTTTTATGAGAAATCAAGTATTCGTATTCGTACAAGCTGAAGCCCTGCCTATCTATTGATTAAAGATGCCAATCTTAATTGCAATGCTTGAGCAAACATTTATACAAACAAAAATATCGAACTCCAAGGAAAATTCAAATCGGAAAGTCCTTTACTATGATCAAATGGCAAAACCAAACGCTCAAACACTTCAAACGAATTGAAAACAACTGTCATATTCCTGACTTGGTACTCCTTATGTAGAAAATGGTGGATTAAACCTGGTTTTATAGCTAGCTAAACCTCTCACTTGTATGACAGTCGCATAAAATTCCATTATATTGACACCAATGTGTGAACAAAACAAACAGACATAATGGGTAAAAATGTCAACAAAGAGGGACGAAAGATACCAGAGGGACAGTCAAACTAATAGATCGAAAACAAACTGACAACGCCATGGCCAAAAATAAAAAGACAAACAGACAAATAATAGTACAGATGACACAACATAGAAAACTAAAGAATAAGCAACACGAACCCCATCAAAAACTGGGGGTGATCTCAGGTGCTCCGGAAGGGTAAGCAGATCCTGCTCCACATGTGCCACCCGTCGTGTTGCTTATGTTATAACAAATCCGGTAAATAGTCTGATTCGGTAAGTCACATTCGTGAAAAGGGAAGGGTATTGTAGTTACGACATAAGGAACACATCCGATATCATCTGTGAAACGGTTATTCCATAACGGTCAACCAACTCGTGATGGCGTCCGTAAAATTTACGAAGGGATGATTTCAACTTCACCATTTGGAACTCTTGGTTTAATAGCTTCCTTGTGAGCAGCAATCCTCTATCAAGGAAATCATGTTAGGAAACACAAGCCCGGGAATATCGTATCAATTGGGAGATATATACTCCGTATGCAGGCGCTGCTGGAATGTTGCTACATAGAAATGGAAAGTTCACAACCTGGGCCCTCTCTAAATCCGCCTCTGATGTATTATTTGTGAAGTTGATGCGGAATATTTATCAACAAGGTCTTGGTATCGTCCGATGAACTTTTTTTTAGAAAAAGGACGAGACGTTATTTGACATAACCCTGGTTCGTCAACTTTCTGCTCAGACACTGGTGACGTTTTATAAAGTCTGGGTAGCAGCTGCAAGCTTTTGAATATCGAATGAGTTGGGAAATGTATTTTCCATATGCAGGTGAAGTTGGTATATTGCACCTAAGGTGCCGGGGGGGGGGGGGGGGGGGGGGGGGGGGGGGGGGGGGAATTAATAATTTCAAAATTAAAATCGTCTCGTTTGTCATAGATTCTGGTACTGAGATGACCGCTCATGTCAAATTCGAGGTATAAGTCTAAAAATGAAGCGGAGGGAGCCGTGTCTGTTGCTTCTTTAATTTCTAGTTCTGAAGGATATATTAATGAAACCCAATCAGAAAAGTTTGGATTGTTAATGGAAAGAACATCATCAATATATCTAACAGCTAGTAAAAAATGCGAAGAACGTAGGGTAAGAAAAGTTTTTACTAGTGCAATTGATAAAATTGACTGGTGTAATATTTATTGCCTGATTTAAAGATGGAGTCAGATATTCGGACTCCTTGGTTTTTTTCCTACGATACAGACTAAAATATTTTGCCCCATATCACCCACTTTTCTTTTCATAGAAGACTCCATTGCTCATAAAAGGTCATTACCAAAATTTAAGCAGATTCTAGATTTCTTTTCTTACGATTTGAGACCCAAATAATGCCCATGCTAAATTTAAGGTGAAAGTCAGAGTCAGCCTTTTCCCGCCATTTTTTAAAATCAAATATCTCGAAAAGGAGCCCATAACCTATCAATATTTTTAGTTTATTTTGTTCCTTAACTAATGCTCTTCTGCTTTATAGTATCAATTATATTATATATCAGTTTCACAGATGATAGCGGACATGTTCCAATTGTTGTAACTACAATCCCGTCCTACTTTCCCCAAATGTGACCTACCGAATTAGATTTATTACCGGGTATGTACTAACATGAGCAACACGACGGGTGCCACATGTGGAGCAGGATCTGCTTACCCTTCCGGAGCACCTGAGATCACCCCTAGTTTTTAGAGGGGTTCGTGTTGCTCAGTCTTTAGTTTTTTATGTTGTGTTCTGTTGTCTGTGTGTTTGTCTTTTTTCTTTTTTAGCCATGGTGTTGTCAGTTTATTTTTTGACTTATGAATCTGAATGTCTTTTTTGGTATCTTTAGCCTCTCTTTTAAATTCCAGAATTTTTTAATTTTACCTAACTATATATACATCCTCAAGCAAAGCATTCGACACTGTTAATCATAATGTTTTAATTTATAAATTAAATCAATTGGAATTTGTCAAAATAGTTATCAATGGTTTAAATCTTATCCATATTAAAAGTGAAATTACAAAAATACCGAACTCCAAGGAAACGGAAAGTCCCTTATCAAGTGGCAAAATCAACAGCTCAAACACATCAAATGAATGGAAAACAACTGTCATAATCCTGACTTGGTACAGGCATACTAGATAACATTGTGTCGAATGGAATGATATTTGATCTAAGCCACGACAGCCACGAGCTATTACAATTGGTGTTCTTCAAGGTTCAATACTCGGACCATTGTTTTTTTTCATTTTATTTGTAAATGACTATTATAAATGTTTAATACACTCTGATGGTACTATTTATGCAGATTAGACATCACAAGATGTGTCTGATTAATCGATTGATGTCATTGAAAGTAAACTGAAAAAAAGATTTACTTAATTCCCTACAACTGATGGAATGTAATACACTGAATATGAATTTAAAGAAGACTCAATGTATGTTAATTGACACGAAACAAAAACTGTCGAAATGTATAAATATTTGTATTGAAATAGGTAGGTGATGTTGCACTTAAAATTGTTAATGAAACTAAACATCTTGGTGTGTATATTGATCTGTTATTTGACATATGGTCATACCATATTGCTATTTTAACAAGGAAGATTTCAAAGTAATTTGGTGTATTGAAAAAGAGAGGCGAATGATACCAAAGGGATATTCAAAGTCATAAATGGAAAATAAAATGACCATTTCATGTTTAAAAATGAAAACCAATCAAAAGACAAACAGTATATAAAAGACAACATAGAAAATCAAGGACTGAGCAAAACCTGGGATGATCTCAGATGCTCCGGAAGGGTAAACAAGACCCTGCTCCACATGTGGCACACGTCTTGTTGCATATATGTAAATACACATCTGGTAATAAGTCTAACTAGGTAGGTCACATCGAAGAAAAATGAACGGGATTATGATTTCAGCAATTGGAACATATCCGTCGTCATCTGTGAAACATTCCATAACGGTCAACCAACTCATGATGGTGTCCGTCACATTTTCAAAGGGATGATTTAAAACTTCACCATTTGGAACTCTTGGATTAATAGCTTCCTTGTAAGCAGCAACCTTCTATCAAGGAAGTCATGATAGGAAATGCAAGCTATGGAATATGGTATTTATTTTTGATGTTTTTGTTATGGTTTCTGTTGAATAATGTGTTATGTCTTATCGTTTGTAGTCCAAATAATTATAAAATTGCCTTTCCATACCATCATTGGCATGTAAATTGTTTGGACGAATATTGTAAAAATAATTGTATAATGTTCGAGATTGCATGTTAGTTACGTAGACGCGTCACTGTTTTTGATATCCTATGGTGTTTTTCTTTGATGGAATATGTTAGTTGTTGTTCTGTGGTGTGCATGTTGTGTCAACTATTATATTATTTGTTTATGCGTTTCTCCGTTATGAATGTTGTTGCGTGTGTTTGTGCTGTATTTCTGTCACGTAGTGTTTTCGCTATATTTTTTTAACATTGTCATAAAGCGGGAGGTTTGGCATGCCATGAAACCAGGTTCAACCCACCATTTTTTCTTAAAATGTCCTGTACCAAGTCAGGAATATGGCAGTTGTTATCAAATAGTTCGTTTCTATGTGTGTTGTCGTTTGTTTTTGTTGCACTTCGGTGTTCCTGTTGTTCATTTGTTTTCCTCTTATAGTTGATGTGTTTCCCTCGGTTTTGGTTTGTAACCCGGATTTGTTTTCTCTAAATCGATTTATGACTTTTGAACACCGGTATAATACTGTTGCCTTTATTTATGTACCAAATGGGAGATTTTTACTCTATATGCAGGCGATGCTGAATGTTGCTACATAGAAATGGAAAGTTCTCAACTGAGAAGATGTTGAAATTAAAAGGATAATATTTTAACATGTTTACTATCCAGACATTCAAAGTCAATAAGCCATGATATGAGAATTGCATAAATCTGCATACCAAATACCACAATCTAATTAAAATACAGAACTCTGATTTCGTTATACTTCATATGAAGTATTACGAAATCAGAGTTCTATATCTAAACCAGATTGCAAATACCACCTTTGATCATGAGGCGCAGCCAGTATAATTTCTATGTTAATGAGACTTGCAAA